AGGCTGATAGAGGAATCAGCAATCGATGAGGTCGGTGTGGATTCAGAATTGCTGATCAAATGATTTGGGTGGTTTTTTTAATAAAACAATTTTTTCCTGACCTGATTCTTAAAGTAGCAGAATTTAGGTGGTTGGTTCCTGGGTTCAGGCTTTCTTACTGTGGAGCTGTACACTGGAAATCAGCCTTAGACTGTGGCAAAGGGAAACTGAGGCAGCAGTGAGATGACAATGTCACCTTTAGGAGCATTTTCCCCTCCTTGTGGGGGACATTTTCATACCTTCCTTCAGACCCACGTGGCAGAGCCAAAGGGAGGAAGCAACGTGGGGTTCTGAGAGGGGAAGGGGAAACCATGACAGAGCTACATCCTTCTGATGGCTGCTTCTTTCTGCAGGTGGTGGTTACAAACACAATCCCACACGAAATCCAGAAACTCCAGTGCCCTAAAATCAAGACTGTGGATATCAGCATGATCCTCTCGGAAGCCATCCGCAGGATCCACAACGGGGAGTCCATGTCATACCTCTTCAGAAACATAGGACTGGATGATTAATTGCTGCTGCTTCTCCAAAAAACACCCCGGGCCAAACTGGAAGCAAACAGATCACGAGCTGTGAAGCATCCTGCTTACCTTAATACTTCTATTGAGCCACTTCTTGTTTTCTCTTGGTTTTAAGTATTGAGGTAGAACAGTTTTGAAGAGCTTTTTTTTTTCCTTTGCATTTTTTTTTGGGGGGGTGGGGAATAAACATTTTACAAAAAAACTGTTCTAGTTGCTTTTAGGTTAGTTGCACTATATGGTAAAAAAAAAAAAACAAACCACAAAAACACTTGAGGCAAGAATTTGGCTTCTAAATTAAGCATTCCTTTTCCAAAGCTGCTTGCTACAAGTGCTTTAAAAGATAATACAACGAAGTGACTGTATAATATTTTCATTTTCAAAGCCAAAAAGGTGGTACTGTTGTATGCAGTTCAGTGATTTTTGTAGGAGTGCTTTTATAGAAAAGCATATGAAATATGCACCTGTATTTATTTTCTGCAACGAAGAATAAAGACTTGTTTTGTGTGAGCTTTCTAAAAACTGTCACCTCCTAGTCCCTTGTCTCCTAAAGCATGTCCCCTTCAGCATGATGTGCAGGTGGCACCTTGCTGAGAGAAGTCAAGAGGTGAATTGATTCTTTTATGCTGATGTGTTACTTTGGAAAACGAATGGGATTCAGGCTTTTGGCAGGGAGGGAGTAACGTGTGCTTGGGTTGTTGTAGTGAACTGGATGGAGATGATGAGGAGGAGAGGTGGCTTTTCCCTTGGATTGGTGCTTGTAAAACACAAAGCACAACCTTTCAGCTCATCTGTGAGTGGTTGTAACGTGGTGCTTCCCCATGCTGCTGTGCCTCAGGGCCTGTGGGAGGCAGAGAAATCCACAGCTGGATGTCAGGGAACAGCAGGGACTTGGAATGTCGTGGGTGCCACGGAATAAGAAAGACCTTGAGGGGCTGGAGCAGGTCCAGAGAAGGGCAACGAAGCTGGGGAGGGCTCTGGGGAACATGATTGTGAGGAGTGGCTGAGGGACCTGGGGGTGCTGGAGAAGAGGAGGCTCAGGGGAGACCTGGTTCTCTGCAACTCCCTGACAAGAGGCTGGAGTGAGGTGGGGGTTGGTCTCTTCTCCCAGGTAACCAGTGATAGAACAAGAGGCACTGGGCTGAAGTTGTGCCAGAGGTTTCAATTCAATATTAGGAAGAATTTCTCTCCTGACAGAGTAGTGAGGCCTTTGACCAGGCTGCCCAGGGAGGTGCTGGAGTCCCCAGCCCTGGAAAGGCTCAAAAAACATGTGGATGTGGCACTCTGGGACGTGGTTTAGTGCTCATGGCAGTGTTGGGTTGATGGTTGGACTTGATCTTAGAGGTCTTCTCCAACCTTCATGATTCTATATTGTGGGGGGCAGAGTTTCCAGCCTAAATCCAAATAGCTCATTGTAGGTAAACTGGATTTTTTCAGAGGTTTCCAGCCTGGCCTGAGTTCAAGGATGAGCTACAAAATAAGGGGCACAGCACAGAGCTGAGCTCCCTCAGGATTGTTTTCCCCACCATCCTGACATACGTGAGGGTGGAACAGCAGCTTCCAGCCTTGGGGACGTGGAAGCTCCTGACCTGTGGCAGAGAAAATGGTCGTGGAATTAATGGGCATTGGG